TGTCAAACAGTTCTACGCAATGCCCTAAAAACATCTCCAAACGATTCAATAAACGAACTGTGGAAGTCAACTAATAATCATACTAACATTCAATACGATAGCTACAACTCAACTAAAGAAGTTTTAAAAACTTTCCATTCTCAACAAGAAAATAAACTTAGGAACCGTTTGAAACGTCAAGGTTCCTTTTTCGAAAATGTTTCTAAATTCTCGCTATCACAACTTAACGCAATCTGGTCAGTATCACAATCAAAGCTACCAAAGAACATTTTCAACTTTACAATTCCCTATATAAATAATACCCTTCCTACCCGAAAGAACCTCAGTAGTAGATGGGGAATTTCATCAAGTTCTGACTGCTCGTTCTGCTTACACCCTGAATCACTTCTACACGTTGTTGCCGGTTGTCAACATTACTTGGAACTATTTACTTGGAGACACGATTGCATACTAAACTTTCTTGCAAAAACTTTTCAAAGTTTAAACGAATGCAAATTACATGTTGATCTTCCTGGATTTGAAAGCCCCTCGATTATTACGGGAGATGAATATCGTCCTGATTTACTTGTCTCCACTTCAGACAAACACCTCTACGTCGTTGAACTTACCGTAGGCTTTGAATCAAACCTCACAAACAATGTTAACCGCAAGAAAGCTAAATATAAAACCTAATTAGAGAACTGGATCAAAACTTTACATCTGTTAAATTTATAAATCTTTCTGTCAGTTCGCTAGGGGTGTTTGACAAAGAATGTCATACATTCGTAAAAATGCTAAATAAGTTAGGACTGGATAATCAACACCAACAACATTGTATCAGAAAAATTATATCTATTGCCATCCGATCAACGTACTACATATTTTGCTGTAGAAATAAAGAATGGACAAATCCCGAACTATTGAACATTTAAAGTAACTATTTCTGTAAATAAGTAGCAATTTTTGTATATAAAATTATAACCATGCATGTATAAGTGATTCAAGTAGTCAATTGTAGGTTACCTCAAGAAGTGAGATTTACAATTGTATATATCTATAAATGTTCTATTAATAAAGTTTTCATTATTATTATAATGACCGTAATGCTAATGGCCGTCCGCAGGCTAGGACACCTGTAAACTGCTGAAACAACATAGCGGCGCCTAGAACAACAAATGTTTTATGGCAAACAAATTAAATCGATGAAATTTGGCCGACATTTATAGACGTGGAAATACTAAACAGTTTTTGAAGGTTTTTATTATATCCAGAATTATTAAGACCTTGATCATAATAATTCTCAGGTTATAATTGCTGCCGCAGCGAGCGAGCCTGAAGCGAGCGAGCAAAGCAGCAGATCCTAATTTTGTTTTGTGGGTCGAAATCAAAATTTTCTATTTGGCGTATTGCATGACGGTACCAGTGAATTTTAACCGTGGTGCAGTGCGGTCAGGCATAAGGCAAATGGGCAATGTGATCATCTTTCATCTTCCCAACGGGCATACGACGTTGTTTCAACGTTGAAATTTGGTAGAAAAAAGGTTGCGACGTCGACAACCGAATATCTACGTTGCTCTGACGTTGTTTTACAAACATTGGTTCAACAGCAGCCAACAGACGTTGAATTAACGTTCATTCATGCTTAAATGTACGACGTCGATTTGTGAACCAATCTCGACGTTGTTTTAACGTGGATTCAACGTTGAATTATGGTTGACGAGATTGGCAACCTAATTTCAACGTTGTTTCAACGTCGAAACAGTAACGTCGATCCAATTTGCATAGTCAACCCTTTTTCAACGTCTATCCAACGTCTGGAAAGTTATTTCCAACGTTGATTCAACGTTGGATAAACGTCATTTTGCCCGCTGGGTTTGGTCTTCTTTTATGGAAAGCCATAGCTGGCTTAAAGTGATCAAACAGCATTTTGTTGGGTGCTTTTAGCATTATACGGCGGTGGTTTCGGCATTATATGCGGTGCTTTCGCCAATATTCGCGGTGGTTCGAGCCGATTATACGCGGTGCTTTCGCCATCATACCGAGTGCATACGCGGTGCTTTCACCATTTTAATATACGGTAACTCGGTATTTTCGCAATTATACGCAGTGGCATGGTTCAAGCATTATACGCGGTGCTTTTAACATTATACGCGATGCTTTCATTCAACATTATTTCCATATTCTTATTTCACGATTGCTTATAAAATTTGGTATGTGGTTGAGTCGGTTGACAATGCTTTTTGGTTTTTGCCTCTGGTCTGCAATGACAATGACATGTTTTAAAAAGGTTTATTTATGCACTTTGTGAGTTCTATACATTATCATATAGTGTTGATTTATTAGTAATAAATCTGTGTACAGTATATATAAATGAATATAACGCAGCGAATGCGCCAAACAGTATGAACGCGGTTGAAATACGATATTAATAAAATCTTGAATGTGCCGTATGATTTAATTATGTTTTAGGATTTAAAAATGCTTCACTTTGTCATTTGTATTTATACTTGTAGTGCATCACAAGGCAGTGCGTAAGTGAACAGATTCCACATGTGAGGTTGTCTTGTATATATTTTTACCTTCTTTGTCTCTTTGATAAACATTATTGATTATTATTAAACACGCAAATTTTAATTAGTGAGACGCAACAGTCACACATGTTAAATGTCACCTGCTTGTCACTGTCATTGCCTTTTAACCCCTGGTCTAATTGGCCGTTTTTGAAAATGTTGATGTATTAATTATGGATGATTCCAATTCATTACAAATATTTCTTATTCTTGTTCTTTAAAATACTAAAGATTTGGGAACAATGCTACACCAAGGCAGTATTCACTACCCTGTGGGTAAACTAGTAATAAAGAGATAAATACTACCTAGCATCATCTTGGGATTGTAACAACTATTGAAGATACAACAAAGTGAAACACCAAAAAGGTTATTTTTTCTTCTTTCTTATTCTTCACCATTTCTTAATCTTATTTCCCCCTTTTCCCACAGCTTCGTCGGTTACCCTATTCCCACCTTTCCCTTGTGTGTTTTGTCTCGAAGCCGACGGTTCTGTCGTTCTCCCTCTCCACTATTGTGGCGTGCTCCAATTCACCCACTCCCTGATTCCCCACTGCCTGTTTTCCAACTTGTATCTATCAAGCTCGTGATTGGACAAGAAAAAGTCTTTATTTTGCCAATGTAACGTCAGAAATTTAGCTCTCATTATATTTATAACTTTGGCAACTTTGGTAACCAAAGTTGCCAAAGTTATAAATATAATGAGAGCTAAATTTCTGACGTTACATTGGCAAAATAAAGACTTTTTCTTGTCCAATCACGAGCTTGATAGATACAAGTTGGAAAACAGGCAGTGGGGAATCAGGGAGTGGGTGAATTGGAGCACGCCACAATAGTGGAGAGGGAGAACGACAGAACCGTCGGCTTCGAGACAAAACACACAAGGGAAAGGTGGGAATAGGGTAACCGACGAAGCTGTGGGAAAAGGGGGAAATAAGATTAAGAAATGGTGAAGAATAAGAAAGAAGAAAAAATAACCTTTTTGGTGTTTTACTTTGTTGTATCTTCAATAGTTGTTACAATCCCAAGATGATGCTAGGTAGTATTTATCTCTTTATTACTAGTTTACCCACAGGGTAGTGAATACTGCCTTGGTGTAGCAATTGTATTATTATAATATTAAACTTGTACAAATTTAAATTTCGTGAAGAATCGTTTGCAAATTCAAAGGCATAGTACAAAACATGGACTGGACTGGACTGGACTGGACTGGACAGTTGGATTGGACTGGACAGTTGGACTGGACTGGACTGGACTGGACAGTTGGATTGGACTGGACAGTTGGACTGGACTGATTTTTCCATTTTCTCTATTCTTGACTTGCACACAGGGGCGCCAGGGGTTTTCTGTGCGGCAATATTTGTTAAAATATTTTATTCGTTGCACCATGCTAAGGGCGGAAAATAAAATCAGTAAACGGATGTATATTGCCTGATTTAAGCCTGGTTCACACTGGTCGTAATTCACAGACACACACACACCGCCATGTCAGGTGGCATGGCACAAAAGAATATTTTATCACAGAATAGATATACCATGATACCATGTCATGTCTATTTTGTGATTGTATCAATGAACATTGGTGTCTGGTGTGTACCAGGAGGAGATTGGTTGCAAGTCAAGAAAATGACGTTCTGCACCCTTTGATTTTCGGAAATTGAAATACTTTACCTTCGCCGATGACCTCATTTTATAACTGGAGTGGAATCTCTTGAAGCTAAAGAGACCTCAGTAAGTAGAATAGAACACAATACTAAACATAAACTACTTATCTGTCAGTTCTGTCTTTTCTATGGGTAGCCTGCTCGCATACGTACTAAATTTCGATATTTCAGTCTGCATGGCCATGGGCGTAGAAAGATCGATAATTGGGAGAGGGGAGGGGCGGAGCTCATATTCATATATTAATGTTCTGTGCCATTCACTTCTTTTGAAATTGATTGTTTAGTTACAGTTTGCGAACATTAATATTTGAATATGAGCCCCCCCCCCCCCCAAAGAAAATTATCGATCTTCCTACGCCCATGGCCATGTAGACTGAAATATCGAAATTTAATACGTATGCGAGCAGGCTGCCCATAGCAAAGACAGATAAGTAGTTTATGTTTGGTATTGTATTCTATTTACTGGGGTCTCTTTCGCTTTAAGAGATTCCACTCCAATTATAAAATGAGGTCATCGGCGAAGGTTAAGTATTTCATTTTCCGAAAATCAAAGGGTGCAGAACGTTATATTCTTGACTTGCAACCAATCTCCTGGTACACACCAGACACCAATGTTCATTGATAAAATCACAAAATAGACATGACATGGTATATCTAAATGATAAAGTCTTTTGTGCCATGCCACCTGACATGGCGGTGTGTGTGTGTCTATGAATTACAACCAGTGTGAACCAGGCTTAAATCAGGCAATATACATCCGTTTACTGATTTTATTTTGCGCCCTTAGCATGTTGCAACGAATAAAATATTTTAACAAATATTGCCGCACAGAAAAATGATGATTGTAAAGCAAGTGCCCTTTTGAATTGGCTGCCCCTGCCGCTTCACATTGCTTCCGGCGCCCCTGCGTGCAAGTCAAGAATAGAGAAAATGGAAAAATCAGTCCAGTCCAACTGTCCAGTCCAGTCCAACTGTCCAGTCCAGTCCAACTGTCCAGTCCAGTCCAACTGTCCAGTCCAGTCCAACTGTCCAGTCCAGTCCAGTCCAACTGTGCATTAGTCTCCTATAGTTGTGTCCCGGCACCCGGGCATTTGCACTATCGTAACCAATCAAATCAAATTCCCGGGTATGCTCCCGGGGATGGTTACTCCTGGAATTGTCTCATGCATTAGAAATTCTTCATGTTAAAACAACTTCTGGAATTACGGTTACTCTGGAAAGGACAAGAGTTGCTGCATTCATGTATTTCTAGTATAACATACGTAAAAAAAATATATTATACGTACTAGTTAAAACATACTGACCAGAAATATTTTGGAAAATGATAATTGTTTATTATTATTACAATTTTGTACAAACATATAAAAATAATATAAAGATCGTGTTACCATGACAAACCACTTAAAATACGTTATATTAGGAAAATATAGTTGTTTTCTGAGCAAGTTGATTTCTGCATTAGAAATAATACATTTCTTTGCATATATAGTTGTGCAGTTAAATATAGTTAAATAATTAATCGTCTTTGATCAATGCCGACATCATCTCGAAACTTCAATGCTTTGTGGTGTATGCAGGGTGTGCAAAAGATGAAGGTTATATATATTCAGTGACAAATAACAGACACATTTTCAAACTAAAAACTAAAGGAATAATATATACAACCGCGAAACTTTTATAAGCCTGCCCAGGGTTAGAATATTGTATAATCACGCACATAAATCTTATCCAGCTATTCATCATTTTATCACGAAAGTTTTTGTGCTCCTAAACTTGCTGCATGGTATTTTTGTACGGTACAACCCCCATTTTAATATGGCTTTTTATACCCTGCATGGCGACCACAATGCATTGTGCACAAGTCAAGATGCCGTCGTCATGACATGTATAATAATGAAAAAGATACGCATATATCGAAATTTATTTATTTTATCTATAGTACCAAGTTCGTTTGGAATACAGGAACCTTTGATACAAAGGATGATGGAAGATATATTATATGGTTAAAGGGTATATTGTAAATATTTTGTACATTTAATTCATGCACACAATGTTCTATTATACATACATGCAGTTAGTTACTTTTAGTTAGTTAGTTAGTTAGTTACTATTATTCCAGCCATGCGTTTCAGTAGAAAGAACTGGAACGCGCAGAGATAAAGCCAAAATACATCAACTAAATAACTCAAATATAGCTTTGTTCTTTATTTAGACAAATAGTCTGGACGAAAATGCTATCAACATCAATTTGGCAGCAATAGAGTAGACTTGTGTGTTAATTTCGCCTTTAATAAGGTAACGTTCCAGCTCTTTTTGAGTAGTTAAAAGTTTGGTACGTCCTAAATCCACCTTAAGCATCCATTCTGTTTTGTTTACAATACATCAAAAGCCAAAAATGGAGTACAAAGAAAAGTTTTCAGTTGCATATCCTAAATGACACTTTCTGTCATTATCCAGAAAATTATCCAGCAAAAAGCAACCTTTGCATGCGTGAACACCAAGACGTGACGGGTGTGTCAAGTTAGCGTCAGTAGATTAACTGTCCATTGTCCATGGTAGAACGACTATATAGTTGCTGGAAAAAACTCCCGCTAAACATCTGGAGAAAAAAACACAGGGGTTATTCAAAATAACAGAACTTTCTGGACAAATGCGGAAACGTTTTGTTTCTCGGCTAGCTTGTGTGTTTTGTCTCGAAAATATTGTTTTCTTATTTTCAGCCTCTTATATAGTCCGGACACGCATACGACATCAATTTGGCTTTTTCTTTTGATTCATTTGCACAAAATTAATTCACTCTTAAAGTGCACCGGCACAAAGATATTCATTCCTTTAATACATGCAAGGAACAATATAGTATATATCTTTACCTTCCAAAGTGCCGCAGCGCATTGGCGCATAAATAATAATTATCACTTATTTACTGAGACCGAGGGAAACAGTGTGTTTTGTGGACCCGCTTTCCCGAGGTCTCAGTAAATAAGTGTTTTATTGTAGATCAATAGTCAAAGAAACAACAAATTAAAGAACAAATTAATGTAAATACATGAAATATTTTATTGTTAAAACGTTATATTAAACACTGGCTACACTGCAGTTACTTAAAGCGAAAGTTTTAATTACGTACTGGGCATTTCCAAAGGTCGCATCTTCACGTGATGGCGCACGTGATTTTTTTTGTTATTCGCCGGTCGATAACGTATTATCTCCCTCTCGCGCTGTTGCGAGGGAGACAGCATAATTTCGTCACTCTCACGTGATATGCTCTCAACCAATAAAACACTAGAAAAATGCGACTTTGACTATTGATATATAATAATGCATTTTGTTTGAGGCGCAGCAGTTTGGGACTCGTTACCTCTTCAGATTTGTAGTTCAACTACAATTTCTAGATGGGGATTAAAATTATTTTTTTCAGATAGCCCAGCAATCATGGCTAACATATATAGCTGATTATATCTCATTTGTGTCGGTTTTCTTTGATCGTCCGAGATTTATAACTAGCTAATATACCTTGAATAAATAATTACATTAAACTTTTCGACAAAACGCGAGAATTTTTCATCAAAAATTTTTGAAAATGACAAAATATGTTAGAAAACCTCCACAAATGAGATATAAGTTAGTTATAAACCTCGAAAGTCGGTTTATAACTGATATATTGCCCTCGGACGCTGCGCGTCGATCCTCGGGGGCAATATATCAGTTATAAACCTCCTTCTCAGTTTATAACTCTAACTTAGGCTATATAGTGCATGATTCTTATTTATATTGCATGATTGTTGTAACTTTTAAATTTCTTTGTTCACGCAGTTCACCTTTTAAATATATAGTTACCACATGAACTGTAACCCATATTTATATTTTCTAGCAACTCATTTAACTAATGTGTTCTGCTATGTTGTGCTGTGTTGCGTTACGTTGTTTGCATTGCCTTGAATTACAAAAACGTTTCCTTCTTTAATTGCATGCCCACTATTGGAACATGATGTTTCCTATAGTTTGATCTGCATGAGCTTCATAATAGAATATATTGACGACTATATATAAGTTCTTACCAGCAAAATCCGCATGATCTCCTGCAATAGTGCTCCATGAATTCATAATTACATTCACAAGCATCACTATTTACTGCATAATTAAAGCAACCAGAAAGTATATTTCGACAGGGTTCTGTAAAAATTCAAAATATTAATTTTGAAATACGTAGCGACAGAATAGTCAAATAATATTACTATAAAGAAAACAAAAAAATGCCATTACTATAAAACAGTATGATATGGACCCAAATGTACAGAAAATAAGTTTCTTTCTTCAACAAGTTCATGGAACATCGTACACAAACTTAAAAGTGATATTTTGTACGTGCATAATCGGTTTTATATTCACTCGTATAAAGACTCGTGTAATTTTCCCGACCCCCGCTATACTAACCGGCTTCCCGAAATGTCTCCTTGTATTTTTCAGGTATATGGTTGCATCCCCATCAACCGAGGTTTTGTTTTATTTTTCCAAATAAGCTATTCGTTTCAAGCAACACATGCATAGGAAAAATTTCCATGCAGGTCGACTGGAAATTGTTTTCAAGATCTTTACCATGGAAATGGATCTCCGTTGCAAATAGTATAAAAATCCAATTTTCATACGAATTGCAATTTCCATGTTATGGATATAGTATGGAAATAGTATGGACATATGCTATGGTCTATGGATTTAGTGATACAATTGCAAATTCCATGGTATGAATTTCACTATTTTTTTCCAGTGAGGTGGTCTCTTAGCAATAGCTGCTATTTTCCTATCATAGATAGTATTTCATATTTTCCTATTATAGATATAGTCAATATAGAGTTGTGTTGAAATATCAGGGAAGCTGATCAAAACACTGTTTTTCTTCATATATATATATATATATATATATATATATATATATATATATATATATATATATATATATATATATATATATATATATATAGAACTTACTATAATATCGACCCAATCTCCTCCGTGATCTGACCTGGCATTTATATAGCTGGTTAAGTTGTTTAGTATCAATGAAGGATAGTTTCTCTTGCTTAGCTCCCAGTTGAAGATTGGCGTAGTTTCTTGATATTATCGTATTTCCGCCATTTTTGCTGAATGCTTTGTTTCCATAATGCATTATACTCTTCAGGTCGTATGGTTGGTTAAGTGTGTCGGTTACGCCATTCTTATAACATTTGAAGTTCTTTTCCATACCTGCACGGAATAACATAAATATATCATCAAATTTATGCATGTGTGTGGCAAAAAGTTAACAGCTGTGAAAATTTAGATCTTTGTCCTTGCGATAATATTTGCAATTATAAATTATACAGGAGTTATAGAATTACAGCCGGTTAGGGAAAGTACATTTATTATGCCGAGGGGGGGGGATAAAGATGTTAAGGGGGGCTCCGAAATATTTTTTGGCATTAAAGGGGGGGCTCTGAAAGTTCTTGATATACTGAAGGGGGGGCTCTAAACTTTTCAAAGGTTTGACCCCAGTAAATTAAAGCTAAAAATTTGACATTTTCAGGTAAAACGGTAATAAAGTAATTATTTTTGTGAAATGATAACCATTTTTGTAAAATACAGTCAATTTACATACATTTGTTTGCAAATCTGCATAGAAACGCAATTCAGTCCTGGGCTTCAAAATGTAAACATTTTTCTCCCAAAAAGAGAGCGCCAATCAATCACAAAAGCTTTATTATAATTATTACCCCCCCCCCCCCCCCCCCCAACGTCAGATGCTTTGCTACGTCCCTAATGGTTGTATTCGAAACCGATTTCAGTTTTAACTTTTAAGATATCCTTAGTTTACTCTTCTAAATGGATACATGAAATCACCTATAGCTTATTTTAAATTTTTTGGCACCAGGTTTGTGAAGTAATTTACCCGCCAAAAAGTAGCAGTTCCAAAAAGCATACGATTTGTAAGAATGATATGTTCTATGTTTATCGGATATTTAGTACAAACAGGATGAAAATTAATGAAATTGAAGCATACTGGCACTTTTGCATGCATTTTTGACAGGCATGCAAAGACATTTGCAACAGATGCCGGGAGATACGTTGGGTGGGAGCGACATTCTGTAAGGTTCCAGCACATTACCCTGATCCAGGAAATCCTGGCCACTACATGAACATGTTCAAGATTCCGACTACGCTGAATGATAGACAACAACAACCTGTTGATAATTTCGCCCCTAGAGCCAATCTAAAATGGTTTTTTTTTAAAGACGGTGCCATTTCATCTGGCGCTAGTGAGGTGAAAGAAGCAGCAGGTCGGTATAGTTTTGTTGTGAAGCACATGCTTGAGTATATATCAGACATCTTGAGGAACTGCAAATTGTATCTATGATAAGAGAGAATTTCGGATTGTACTTCTTCGATTCCGAATTTCTAGAGGGGGGGCATTGAAAATTTTAAAAACTTGGAAGGGGGGGCATCGAAATTTACCAATAGCCTCAACAGGGGCCCTGTAAAAATATGAGCTTTTTTCAAGACATCTTCATCCCCCTCCCTCGGCGTAATAAATGTACTTTCCCTTAGCTTAAGATCAATCTAAAATTCAGAGCAAACTTTCCAACAGCTTGTTCATGAACTTGGAAACTATTCTTCAGAAATCTTGTGTGGAACAATAAGAGTTTTCTTTTCTGACGTTTTGAAACAAACGGACGTGCAGAAATACACAAACGGAAACAGCAGATTAAATTTTTAATCCAGGGTTTGCGCTAATCCAGCTTTGAACAACCGGCCCTGGCTGCACTGTGGCAGGATAGCTTGCCGACATCAAAATATCTTCAAACCTAAGCACAAAATAAAGTATAGGAGCAATCCTATCCTATCATATTGTTGCCTGATGACGTCATAACATGTGTTAAATGCGCGAAATTCAAACGATAGAACAGTGCGGACTTCGCTGCTTACAGACAAATATTATATTAAAACTATTTGTTTGATCTCGATAGTGCAGATAAACAGAAGTTGAACATGCCTCTTTGAATGTTCCACCATAATATTTTAACATGACGATCCCGATCATGTCTTGACTGCTCATGAACGAAACCTAACGCGTGCATTACTTCATGTATTGCTCCATATTCACAATTACGCACTATAGACACTGTTTGTGCGCCACCTTTTCTGCCAATTGACGAGTAACACCTTAAAATAGAATATCATGGTTTAGAGAAAGATTGTGACAAGCTTTATTATTGTCATCCAAAATGGCAACCCTGCAATGTGTGCGTGCACAAATACACTTTCTCTTATCAAGGTTGATACCGTATGTTCAAAAATGTCAATTTCGTCTTTTTTGTCGCCAAAAAAAGTTTTAAGTAAGAAAAAAAAAACCCAAAACATTTAAAGAAACAAAAAAACATTTTAAGTAAGAATAAACATTTAGACAAAAAGAATAAGTTTATTGAAGACAATAAACAATTGCGTGGCATATGCACTTTAATACTATATATATATATATATATATATATATATATATATATATATATATATATATATATATATATATATATATATATATATATATATATATATATATATATATATATATATATATATATATATATATATATATATATATATATATATATATATATATATATATATATATATATAAAAATACGAAGGTATCATGTATCTAGACGTGTACCAAGCTGCACTGACGAGGCGTTGAACGCCGAAACATGCATGTCTGCAGATTGTACTATTACGCTCCTTCACTTCGGTTTCGATGTTGTACAGCACTCTGTGGAGTTGTTAATGGGTAACTATTAGCGATAATGCAAAGCTCACTTTCCTTGTGGTTGTTTGAGCACTCTGGCCCCATTACACTCTGCGCATGTCTGGATGCGTCGATACCTTCGTGTTGTACCACATGCGCTTGGTGAGAGCACGCTCATGTGTATAAATGTGTATAAATACGAAGGTATCATGTATCTAGACGTGTACCAAGCTGCACTGACGAGGCGTTGAACGCCGAAACATGCATGTCTGTCAATATGCATATATATTATATATATATATATATATATATATATATATATATATATATATATATATATATATATATATATATATATATATATATATATATATATATATATATATATATATATATGCATATTGACAGACATGTATTAAAGTATTAAAGTATTAGTATAGTATTAAAGTGCATATGCCATGTACATAATTATTTATTGTCTTCAACGAGAAATTCTTTCATACATTTTATTTCTATTTTTCGTTGTTGAGATATTTGATCATTTTTAATAAAGTAACGCATCCAGTTTGACGTCATACATAAAGGATCAGTGAATAAATGCATCAAATTAATCACATGAAACAAGTAGCGTGTGTATGTTTATTTCTTGTACAATATTAATCATGCTGATTATTGCAGTAATTCAGATTAATATTTCATTTCATGATGACAGACAATACAAAACGTTCAATCACTACTATCTCATTATATGTAAACGTCGAGTTTGCTGCACTGCTCCAGCAACGCTCGTCTGACATTTTTGGGACACTTTGGGTTAAAAATACGTTTTCAGAGCTTTTTCGACCTCAATTTTTCACAATATTCTTTAATATTTAGCACGTTCTGCAATTCCAGCATTTCAGGGCCCCCTCTGGGGAAATTGGGGCCCCTTCGTTGACTTTTCTTTGGGTAGGGGGGTGTTATACCACCCTTCCCAGTAGTTACGGCCCTGTTGTGACGTCATTTTTAGTTTAATTATACATATGATGTTATCAAACTTTGAACACGCAAGCATCTAGCTTGTAAATAGTTGGCTTTTCAAAATACGTGATGTTCTTCTAAAGGTGACTTAAACTATAGTCGAAACGTGAAGAATAAAAATGTTTACAATTTTCGGAGTGTCTACTGTTTTGTGTTTTATTAAAATACTTTATGGCAACCGCAATTTATATGTTCAAACTAGGGCACTTTAAGAGTCTTAAGATAACAAACAGTTTGGTGTCATATGACCCCCCCCCCCTAGTATGGTAATCTACAGTTCCCACAGCAAGGAAACGATGAAACAAACATTTTGGATGAATTTGATCAGCTTGATTGGTACATTAATTCTACTATTAATTAATTTTGGCCTAATTTCTAATTATGTTTGTCGTATTTGACTCTAACATCTATAATATTGTATTAAATAATAATTAATGATTTCAATTGTCCCATTTAAGCCCGTTAGTCTCCTTGCGCAGATAGTGGCGGCAATTTACTTTTTCCGGGGGGGGGGCAAAGCCTCCTAAATTTCCGACAAAACTTTCAAATTTCCGACAAACCCCCCTATTTGCACTCGAAAAGGCTGTTTTTAGCCCTCTTTTAGGTCAAAATTTCCGAAAATCGTCATTTTCCGTGAAGTTGGGGGACAGTCGCCCCCCCCCCCCACCAAGATATACGCTTATCGTGCCTTTTGTTCTCTTTATACGGGTTCATGTGCGAAATGACTTACCGCTTCGCTTTGTCATGCAGTGTACACCCCAACTTTGAACCCCCCAACTTTGAAAATTTCACTTATAGTAATTAAAATGTGGTTTAATGTAAAGTCTAAATGAAACACTATACTACTTTTTCGTGCTTTAGAATGACATTTTATAGCGAAATTCTTACCCTGTGCCACTAATAAATCTAACGTAATCTTTGTGTTTTTTCATCTTTGGCATAAATTTAATGCATGATCTCTTGGAAATATGGCGGAATGCTCGTCTAATTCTCCTTCTCGCCGCATTATCTAAAACGCAAAAATATGACTGTCAGAGTCACATTCAATTATTTCAACAACTGAAGTCAAATTTACCATTATTATTACCACGCTGATTAATTAAAAAAGGATTCTAGGTAACATTATTAAGCTTTGTACGTAACGAGCACGACAAAATTGGTGTATCTAATAATTTAATTATCATTCTGACGTGCAAATGGAAATACGTTATCGTTATACCGTGATTTGTATAAAAAATGAGTAAATTTTATTAAATTTTCCAATTAAAATGGCCTAATAGCCTACATATTGCGAATAAATGCCTAGTATATTCAGTACAGTAACCAAAGGTTTCATATTCGATATTAAACAGGAGTTCTTCTGCAAAAGTTTCTACAGTTCTTAGATTTAGTGGTTACTATTTATGAGTTATATCTTCGGATTATACTTTTGAAATCCGAGCGCAATTTGTTGGCGTTTGACATTAATTCAAATTAAAAACATTCCACGTTGGGTCCGTAGCAACCTTTAGCTTTTAGCTTGGCAGATTCAACAGAACAAACTTTCGGCGTTCATTCTCATTCAACAATTGCATGTCAAATAATAAATAAATTCTTTGTCATATTAATTGCACTTTAATACAGTAGGTAGTCTTACCAATACTATCTTCAATGGTGTACGGAAGCACTCCCTCTGGCCATAGCTTAATAATGTTGGCAACAGTGTCTCGTTTGCCACGGTAATGTTCATCGTGTGTTTTTGGCTTTAAAAGTTCACGCATAGCATTATCCAGAACAATATCGCCTTCCATTAAGTCTATAGAATGATAAAACAGCTAATTCACAAAATTTGAAAGGGTATACATTCCAGAACTGACGTCGATCTGCATGGTTCGCAGAAAAAGATTAAATGCTGCATAATCCAAGAAAATAGGACGGAAAACATTAAGAGAATAATTTTTGCTCTGCCCTGCTCCATCCTGCATGCTATTCTGTTCTGTTCTGTTCTGTTCTGTTCTGTCCTGTCCTGTCCTGTCCTGTCCTGTTCTGTTCTGTTCTATCCTATTCTGTTCTATCCTGTTCTGTTCTATCCTGTTCTGTTCTATCCTGTTCTGTTCTATCCTGTTCTGTTCTATCCTGTTCTATCCAAAGCAGTTGGACTTGATAATATGATATTTCAGCCAAACTTTCAAAGCTGGGTGGCAAGGTATTTTGGTACACGGCTTTTAGCAAATAAGACCATTCTCTTGTGGAAATATGTTTTTCTTTCACTCTGCTATTCTTTTATCAGTCTTCTCACTCATTTCCTTCGTTTCGTTTCGTTTCGTTTTGTTTTGCCGTTTCGTTTTGTTTTGTTTCGTTTCGTTTGCGTGTATTCGGCTTTTTTGTTAATGTATGTTGTGTTGTGTTGTGTTGTGTTGTGTTGTGTTGTGTTGTGTTGTGTTGTGTTGTGTCTTAATCTATTTTAAATCTTTTTCATGGTTATTTCCATACGCGAATAACAGGTGGGAAATTTGTCGTCGCTGACCAAAAAATCGCGGGCAGAAACAAAGCTCATTGCATTTACATTCAAAACAAAGCAGAAAGTTAGCAAGAAGCTGTTTTAGCTCTCGATTTTTTGCTTTCCATTCAACGATTTAGAAATTAACGGTTATTCTTTTAAAGGTCGATCATGAATTCTTTGTTATGGGTTGATTTGTTTTGTAATCGAGTGCAGGGGCGGATCTAGGGGTCGTCAAACCAGTCACGCGACTAACGTAAAAATTGCAAACTTAAAGTCTTAAATATTCGACCAATAGTCCAGTTATTTTTTATCATGCAGCGACACCTTATAATAGTCCAGTATCAATTATCATCCAGCGCTAGCAATTAACATTCCAATCGAACTGTAGTCTAGTGATCAAATTTCATACAGTGGTTGAGCCGACGAGCTTAGTCAAGTCAATGAGCAGCTGACATACGCAAAGTCGGTCAGTCAAAAAGTCGAAATCCAGTGTTCTGATTGGTCTAGACGCTTATTGCCATGGAAACAAGCGATTTTTTGCGATTTTGACTGATCTGTGGCGAGTTCTGACCGATTTACAAAAGTCAGGGGCACCCCATTAGTTGGAATATCATTAATATTTGACGCGTGTTAAAGTCTTTCCGAGCGCGCGCTCATTCGAAGTGTCATGTTGGAGCTCTACTGACGGAAAATTCGGAAATGTCTGCTGCTCCAGTCTTTGTAGTATTCGCGAATTGGTTCAATCCGCATTTGCGGTGAACGATTTAGCTGTCTTACAAGACTGTTGCGCTGATCTTGGGAGGAAAATCGACGCTAAATATCGGAGAGTTCGATTCAGTGAGCAGTTGCTAGTCTTGCTAGGCGCCATGAGTAGCACCAACTACAGTTTGACTGTTTGAGTAGAAGTATTGGCGCCGAGATCTTTATTCTGAAGTGCAATAAGGTAAATTTAATATGATATGTAAATTTTATTTCGTTTTAGACAGCATAACAATATTTATAAGCGAACAAGATGCGCGCCATACATATGTTAAATTGTAACTTGAATACGCGAACCTTGATTTAGATTTATCTATGAGTTTTGATTTACACAACAAATTTGCATATTTCTAATTCTGCGGTTGAAGGACCGTCAGAACTCAGAGTCAGAAGGTTATTAATATGGAGGATAACCTATATAAATGCATTAATGCAGTACACATAGGATATATAGGGTCAGGTTTTATACATGAATGTTAAGACTTTAATATTGATATATGTTTATTTGAGTAATATGACACTGTAGTGATTACTGAGTGTAGTACTATCATGAGATAGTTAAACATAATACTAGCAATCCGTAATTTGATGAAATGAAACATCTTCCCCAATTACCACATTTTTGCAAGTACTTCTCGGTCTTCTCCTTCACTTTTCCCTAAGGAGCGAGTTGTGATCTCGAGTCAGTCAGACTGATAGTTGCTATAATTATCTCCCATTTCATGAAGTTAATTTTTTGTTCAAGCTGCTTTCAGAGTGATGCAAATTGCGTTTCTGAGATTTAAAAATATAAAAATTCCTGGGGGACAGACCCCCCTTGGTGCCTCGCGCATTCGCCGCTCGCAAAACTACATTGTACATCCGAAAACTTTGACTAACGTACGAAAATTCCTGGATCCGCCCCTGATCGAGTGATTGCAAAAGTTAATATGGCGACGTGAACATGGGAGTAAATACCGTATACGTCGATCTGTGCATTGTTTACAACCGTAATAAACGAAGAAAGACGTGATATGAGAATGAAATGTAAGTTGAAATTAACTTTATATGCCTCAAATTTTCCATCCTATGTTTCTTAATGTAACTTCAGCTGTCTAAGTTCAAAATACAAGCTCGCGAAATTTGACAAATTTTGAAAATATGTAAAAATAGCTTGACTTTGAGCTATATTTTCTCAAAAATAGCCCGTGGCCTCAATTTCAAATATAGCAAAATGAAAAGAAAAAACTTTTCGGCGTTTGTAGGTATCAAACATATCATCAGGAAAATAGGGGCTCACAATGTTTTAGCTGAGTCTTTGAGACCCAGTTGCTTCGCACGTGTTGTGGTCAAATTTTTGCCAAGAATCAAAGGCCGAAATGTGAACTTCCTTCATGAAAACCGCTTCAAGAAGGGTCTAGTTTGAAAATTTAGCTCTTAATTTCGATTTCATGAGTATATTTTGGTTACACGTTAAATATTTTCGTGCTTGATGAGATTTAAAATTTGTTGTATATCCAAGCCCGGCTTTTGTGTAATTTTGGTGATGACCGGAACAGAAATAAAGATATTTTAAAAACTGGCCGTGGCCTCACGATAAAACTTTCTACAAATGTTCTCTGTTTCATGTACTTTTATTTGATATCTTAGGTATAAGCGTAAAAATAGGGGCTCATATAGTTTACGAGGTTGTAAAATGCATGACTTGCCTCTATTTTCATGTAAACATTCGAAATTTTTCGACAGCAAAGTAGCAACTGTTTCAGATCGAATGCACACGGACAGCCCACCAGAGACAATGGCAGGGTACTGAAATAGAACGTCACTAAAAAATTCTGTATGATTAATTTAGATTCTGTCCACTTTCAACATAAAACAGTCATTTATTTTGTACAAACATTTGGCAATATTTACACGATGTGCCTTTTTGTAAACACGCATTGCGTGTATTCCTCGCAATTGCGTGGCTCATTTTACTCGCGCATGCTCAGACAAATTTCCCACCTGTTTACGCGAATGCCAATAAAGTAGCCCATGAACGCACAAATTAAGCTAACAGTAAACCAGAAAAGTAAAAAATTCATTATTCCCAACATTTCGTTATAGGCAGGCGACAGATTCTCTCAGCACAGACAAGTTAACACTGTGTATGACTTTGTGCAGTGCATAGATACAACGGGCAATATAAATATATAATTGAAATTCCTGAAATATCTACAGTATATCATCAGTCAACCTAATAAACATCGCGGATTATTCCCGAATCCTATTCAGGGGCCGGTTGTTCAAAGCTGGATTAGCGCTAACCCTGCATCAATGCATGGGTTAAAATTTTACCTGCTGTTTTGGTTTGAGCATTTCTGCATGTCTCTTTTTTTCAAAACTTTGGAAAATAAAACTTCTGTTGATCCAAACAAGATTTCTAGAAAACCATTTCCATGTTTAAAAACAAGCTGATGCCTGCATGATGGGAAAATTGCTTTGAAGAATTTGTTAATAATCTAGGATTATAAGCTAACAGACTTTTGAACAACCGGCCTCATAGGTATAGTGTAATTGACCCGAAGAAGAATTATATACAGATAACGTTACTGGAATTCCATATATTCCCATGAATATATGGATATGTATAAGATGTATATAACCGACATATCCTGATTGATATATTTATTCATTTCATATATCATGATGTACACTGTTTGTGTTATTTTTCATTCCCTATACAATGGAGTGACAGCTTTCAACTGACAGTCACAAATGCATGATAGCGATAAGAGCAAACATTTCATTGACATTTATCTGGTCTATCCTTTATCGTTAAAACGCCAGCTGTCACATTCCGCCCAACCCGTTTGTCTCTATATGTCATTATGCCAGGAATATCAACTTTATGCGAAGCATATACTGGCATCCTGATCCTATAGTCTTACGATGTATAAATCAGTCGATTATATTTAATATTAAATTTGCAACCTTCGTGCATAACGAGGACGAGGTCGAGGTATAAATTGCACTATTAAAGGCTACGTTTACATTATAGCGGCGCAAAATAGCACCTATATAGCTATCCGAACCAGTGGCGTAGCGCTCATTGGGTAGGGTTAGTTCAAAAACTAAGGGCCCCCGACAGTTAGGGGCCCCATCACCCACGGCCTATCGCCCAGAAAATTAGAAAATGTAAAAAATGCAGGTTAAGATTCAATGGGAAAATGCAAAATTAATATAAATGCTAAATAATAAAGCCTCCATCGACAACGGTAGCTGATTTTTTAATTCCATCTCAAATAAAACAAATGTTATTCTTATTAGTTGTTACATGTGTTGGAGACTGTTATTGTTATAGACATGGAATTTTCCAGAACATTTTATAAATATTCAATATAAATATAATATCTCAGTCAAACAATGACAACAGGGCCCCCACACCAAATATGCCTAAGGGCCCCTGTTCCTCCGTTATGCCACTGATCCGAACGGAATGCGAACTTTCAAAACATCTCTGCGTTCTAATAATTCCTCTGAAAATAGCGTTCCTAAAAGGCACGGATAATAAGGGGTTTTTGTCCACGTCGCTATGAAAAACTATCCGGTACAGTGTAAACGTATAGGCTGAAGTGGAATCTGGAGTTCATGATAAACACACTAAAATTAGGCAATTATCTCAGCTGGGTTTTGTAGCTGCTAATGAGATCTTGTTGGCTTATCGATTGTTCCATGTCAAAGTTTCGATCTACATTTAGATAGGGCAACATATACTGCATGTTTGTCATGCATTCTGAATAGAAAAAGCATTAACAGGTATAGTCACTTGCTCAATATACAGGGTGTTTAAAAAAAACTGAACCCTTTCAAATTCAAATTAGCTATAACGTATTGTAGTAATTTGACAGCTCTAATTGCTTTGAATTAATGGTTGGGTAAGAACACAAGGAATACTGTATTTCTTTTAAATTCTCTAATTTTTATTTCTTTGAGTTTTGTCCCATGAGTACAAGACCTAATGTTCTTATCCAACCATTATTTTAAAGCAATTAGAGCTGTCAAATTACTACAATACGTTATAGTAATTGAATTTGAAAGGGTTCAGTTTTTTTTTATACACACTGTATACACATGCATCCGTTTGCCTATATTTTAGAAAATAAAATCAATGTTTAACATTCCATAAAATGCCTCACTGGACATATTAGTATACAGGGTGTCTCAAAAAAACCCAAAATCATTGAAATAACGTATTGTTCGAATTTCAATGCCGTAACACAAAGGATTTTGACAGGGTGATTAATTTGTTTTAAAAAATTAAAATATCTTTGTAAAGTGAACGTTTGTTTGGTCATGGGAATTTAAAAATGCTTCGTAAATTGTAATATGCGTAATATGCATTCGTGGGTTTAGTACTTTATGCCTGACATAACAAGTTTACGCTGAGTATTACCATTCATTATAGCAGTTATGTCAATCTTTTATGCACTCGTGGGATTAACTTAGTGCTAGGGCATTGAATATCGAACAATACGTTAATTTCAATGATTTTGGGTTTTTTTGAGACACCCTGTACAGTACAACAACAGTAATATGTTCTATTAGCAATTCGATTTCAATTCGCGGGGGCCTGAAATCTTTTATGCTTAAGAATTATAAAGTGGATTTCTTAGGAAATTCCAAGGTTGCGTTTCACTTCCGAGTAACGGGCGGAGGTATGCAGTCTCTGAGTGCCCTCTAGTTATGTATTATTATATATCAATAATCAAAGTCGCATTTTTCTAGTGTTTTATTGGTTGAGAGCATATCACGTGAGAGTGACGAAATTAGGCTGTCTCCCTCGCAACAGCGCGAGAGGGAGATAATACGTTATCGACCGGCGAATAACAAAAAAAATCACGTGCGCCATCACGTGAAGATGCGACCTTTGGACATGCCTAGTACGTAATTAAAACTTTCGCTTTAAGTAACTGCAGTGTAGCCAGTGTTTAATATAACGTTTTAACAATAAAATATTTCATGTATTTACGTTCATTTGTTCTTTAATTTGTTGTTTCTTTGACTATTGATATATAATAAAACACTTATTTACTGAGACCTCGGGAAAGCAGTGCGTTTTGTGGACCCTCGACGTCTGTGGACCATCGACGGTCTCGGGTCCACAAAACACACTGTTTCCCTCGGTCTCAGTAAATAAGTGATAATTATCTTACAGCCTATAGAGTAGGTTAGCAAATTACGGCATACCTGAGGCCAGGTACGTCAAGCACATTGAGGAGATTTGTTAGATTGAAATCTAATTCCTAGAAATACAACACAATTATCATTGTTAATATATGCTGACAAAATACTATATCGTCAGTGGATTAGAAGCAGGGGACTTGTTTTAGCTGTTCTAACTTTGTTTTGCCTCGAACTTTCTAAACAGATAAGTACTGTACAACAACTAAGAAACTCAGATTACATACCGGTTTATCCAAGAAAAACACAGAGAGACCAGCAACAAGCGGAGAAGCAGGAACAAGTGGAGACATGATGACACGTAAAGTACCTCGGAGCTATATAAACATTAAAAGAAAAGGTTACAACCTGGCAACATAAGCGCACATACTCAAGTGGTGTACTAGGTAATATCAAACATACTGTACATCTACACAAAAATTATGCTCTATCTTGTAGTCATGTACACTACTGTACGTCCTCGTTTCATTGAACAACAATACATGCACTGTATATGTATAGATTAATGGTGAATGAATTTGTGGAACGCCATAGTATACAGTACTCGGGCACACACCTGAAGATCTTCAATTCCAACAGTTACACATTTAACAGACAGTTCAAAATCCGCATCGCCAGAATATCTAAAAATGAATATTTGCTAAATTATCTTGGGTACCGAAACTCTTATTATTCTCTTCACTTAAACGACTGAAACCATATACAGTATGATGCATCTCTTCATCTCTTTTCGTACCTCTTCAAAATAGAAAAAGTACTTTTGTATCTTTTGTATCTAATTCCCCGAAAACATTTGAACATCACGCAGTTTAGGGTAGGCTCGATTACCAGCCGTTACTCAAGTCGGACCCCGCAGACCCTTTGCCATTTAGGTTCAACCCTTATAGCAGGCCAAAAAATATAATTCTCTTCCTGGCAGCAAAATTTAAAAACACAAATGTAAGACTTCCTGCATATGTAGATTTCAGAGAGGGTATGTGACATAAAACATTGTCATTGTGACAAGCTTATATCTATAAGATGACAAAAATTTCTAAACAATTCGTGGCAGCGGTGCTGCCGGAGTCTGGCGCTGCCGGACATTTTCCAGCACTGCCTTTTAGGATAGTTGTATTACACGAATTTTTCTGTGTTGGTCAGGCCTCGAATTTCCCTGAAATCAATCGACGGCAATGGCGTTAAAAATTGCCGTAGAACGTAACAGCTGTCTACGGCAATTTTGGCAGTTTCCACGGCATTTTTCAAATGACTGTAATAAAACTTTAATTTTATTGCTACTTTGGATTTTCGACAAGCTAAAAACATGTCAACGTATTTCTTTAGTGTTTTTTTTTTCGAAGAAAACTGAGACTAAAATAGTGATTTACGTATGATTTGATCAACATCTGAATTCAAGTATCAAAGTAGTAATGCACAGTGAATAATATAAAAATTGCACTATACGGCAAAAGATTGCCGTCGTTGCCGTAATGATCAACGGCATTTTGTTCTCCCTCTACGGCAATTGCCGCGATAAAATTCGAGCCCTGGTGTTGGTGTAATGTACTCAGGTGAATATGATGCTTGTGATGTTACTCTGAGTGTATATCCACACCGGGCAAGCTTGGAAAATATGCCTGTCCACGGTGGGAATCGAACCTACGACCTTTGGAATACTAGCCAAATGCTCAGCCAACTGAGCTACGCGGTCAGGTCGGTTCGAGTATGTGATATTTCGGAACCGAGTCTAGTGTTACAGACCTCAACACATCTACTGCATATTGGCGTTCTAAAGAATAACTAACATACATGCAGAACAAAACGAAAAATTATTGGTTACACATGGCGGTCATTAACAAAAGACTAAAAGAGTATCATCAGCAGCCATTGTATTTGGAGCGTATTTTCCTCCGTTCGTCTTATAAATCTCAAAGGATTGATTGCAAACCACCAATTAATTCAATACCAAATTGACAAATTAATAGAAATATTGAACCTACATTACATCAATATCCATGATTACTTCTGATCTCTTCACGTTTTCAGTGTAAACCTTAATTCCACCAATACGAGGAGCCTTACGAGAAAACAAAATAATCAGAACAACTTTAATCATTTGTTAACACAGAAATCGCTTGGAATTGCAACGCCGATAAGAGATAAAATTCCTTCTTAAAACATATGGCTGCAAGTAATGTTTTACCCGATTTCCCAGAGAGATTTCTGTAAAATAAATGGACTTCAACATTCCTGGTACAGATTCTTGAATTTTTGGTTCAACCGTTTCCTTGAGGATTTTGATCACCATTTCATTCACATAGGGCCAGAGTTGTGCAACGAACTAAACAAATAATTAATTTAGGTTGCTTTGACTTTCTATAAGATTAAATTAACAATTACCCAGCATATGTATAGCTTAAAGAAAGCCTAAACTTAATAACACGTCCCAAGTGGTAAAAAGTTTTCTTCTGTCGAAAGTACAGTTTTTATTCACAGGAAAACTGTCAAAGGCTTTGGGACGATTTCGAAAATCACTTTCTCGATTTGTGGGTATTTTTAGATATTTTCCGAGATTTTTAGAGATTTTACACGGATATTTGAGGGATTTATCAGAGATTTTCGAGGTTTCTTTTCAAGGTTTCCGAGATTTTTTGGAGTGATACACTCCTCAAACAATGCAACACAGTAGGTTAGATAAACGACGGAAAGGTGTTGGGAAAAGATGGAAGGAAAAAATGGCGGCATAGAAGACTTCAAGACGTCGAGGGACGCAAGATAAGGGATTTCATAACCAGCTGCATTGAGGACTCTCTAGGTTACGATAGTTTAAATGCTTTGAATGCATCAGGATGAGTTTGCTGAGGAGGGTGCAAGGGAGTGCACATCCCTCCTAGCCTTGCCAAAGAGAGGTGCTAAAAGGGGAGTGTCAATTTCCTTATCAAATCCATTTTTTACTTGGAAAGAAATATTCTACCACCTTTCAGGACCAGTGTTCTGCCATTTCCCCAGAGCACTGCTGCCTCTAGCTCCCTCTAGTGATTATGCGTAGCTTGGGAAACGGTCAGCATCCCAAACTATGACAAAGGCTCTATGTACACTCCCCCTCACCTATAGGATCCGGCTGGATCCATGCCTGCAACGCATAATATTGGTACTTTGTGTAATCGTTCCATGGAAAGAACTGATACTCTAGCTTGAAAATATAAACAAACCTTGTTCAACCATTCTGCTCTTTCGACATCTGGAAAGAATACCTGTAATGCAATGTAAAACACGTTATAAAATGTTTTCAGTTCCACCAAGCTTGCCTGGTGACCAGGTCTTGTATAAGCATGTGGTAAAAAATATGTCATACGTGAGGATCCAGTGTTTAGATAGTGTTCTACATTGAAGCGTTTGCTTCGCATTGAAGAATAACCTTTTTCATTACGAGGCAATCAGTCATGCAAATATTAGTGATTGACGGATTGTGCAGCAATTGGACATTACCAATTACCAATAATTCATGTCACAATCTACCCGAAACCAATGCCGATTTTATAATGACGTCATAATATCAGTCGACCAAGTAAAGGTGACGTCATTCATGTCTATTTTTAACGATAATTTCCAACGTAACATGTTACTGCAACCAAAGATCGTTAAAACCGTTAATAAATGGCACGCTTCACGCATCAATTTAACATAACGTAACGTGCAATGCATATAATTTTTAAAATGCGTATTTTCTCAACAATCGGAAATAAACATAATTCTACCGATTCCGATTGTCTACAGATAAGACAAAAATCAGCCCGATAACGATCAATCACTAGCAGATATGATCAATCACTAGCAGATTAATTAGCTTTTCGTGTGATCTCTTCAACATGTGCGTTCCAGTTTAGATTATTTTGTAACGACACGCCAAGTAATTTAAAAACGTTCACCCTTTCTATAAACTCATTTCCAATACGAAGACGTGGTGGTTCGGGTATAGTTTTTTTAACATTGTCCTTAGTTTTTTAACATTGAGTGCCATTCTATTTTTAAAAGACATCCCAGTTATTTACTTCATTGCAGGGGCGTAGGAACCGGGGGACCAAGGGCCCAAGGCCCCCAAGTTTTCAAAAGTGCCCTTTTTCCGGAAGTGCCCTTTTTCCGGAAGTGCCCTTTTCCAGGCTTTTCCTTCGTGAAAAATGTCGTTCAGATTGTATTTTTGCCTCAATGGCCCTTGATTTATGATTGCATTTATTTTTCCTTCCCTACCATCCCTACCCCCTATCCCCTCCCCCGTCGCCAACATTTCCGGGGAAAATTTTTTAGGTGCCCTTTTCATTCCAAAAGTGTCCCTCGAAACCGGTGCCCCTGCCAGAGTTGCCCTGCCAAAAACGATGATGCCCAACTTTTTTATGCTTCCTACGCCCCTGCTTCATTGATAGATTATTGTAAATTACTACCAGAATCTACGCTCACCAGAATCTACGCCTCTTTTAACACTGAAACTTCTCCAGGTCCCCCGCTAAATATGTCCCCTCCAGTTACACATCCTTAAAAGAGGCCCTGCTGTATACTTATCCGTACTGACTTTTAATTGTTCTGGTAAGGTGTCCTCCAAATCATCAATGTATGAATTAAAAAGAATGGGAGATATTACAGAGCTTTGCGGGACTCCGGCCGGGATGATAAGGTATCAATGGATGATAAGGTACATTGAGATTCAATGGATGTTTTCATGCGCCGAATCTAATTGTCGTAGATACGGCAAAATATCGGAAGCTGATTTAGACGTCGAACTTAATTGTACCGTACCAAATTGCGAGGACACGATATTGGACATATTTACAATGCAAATATATGATAATCATATTATGATGTTAAAAACAAATTATGCATTAGGTTCGGCGCATGAAAAGCACGGCGTCTAAATCAATGTCGAACCTGTGTCGCATATACGACTTGTCTTGTCGCATCTTCGAGTCATGTCGAACTTAATCAAAACCTGTCGAACTTAATTGATTTAGACGCCGCTCCAGCGTCGCACTTAATTCTTGCATTAGATTCGGCGCATGAGAAGTTCGCCGTCTAAACCGGGCCTAAGGTACCATTGCCTTCTCCAGTGCGGACAAACCGCCAGTAATAGAAAATACCTTACGTAAGTTATATGGGTCATTTCCTTCAGTAAGACAGACGTAAGCACATAATTTATGTGTTTACTTCGTTGGCGGAATTAAGTAGTCCACGAGTGCCAGACGCTTACGGGGCCTGACACTATGTTCCAACGTTCCGAAAGCGCTGCATCCAGGGCGCGCCCCCAAGACACGTCTGCACGAGCCTTTTGTCACGCACCTTTTTTCAGGGCCAAGAAACGATTTTAAGGACACAATAAGTTTAACTGTGTACAAAACAAGCGCCTTGGATCATGGTGGAGACTTTTTGTCGACCAAAAACTGGATGAAAATGTGAATAGAAGAACGGGCAGTGGAACCACACTGCATGAAAGGATTATGCTGGACTTTACGTCAAATATGGAAATGATATCGAGCGAACAAGCACGGTACGTGAGACTGGTGAGTCAATCCATCATTGACAAACATACAAGTTACTGTGCTTTGATCTTTAATTTATTGTAAAGTTGATCTCTAATTTGTTTTCTCCGACTAGTAAACATCCAGGCCGCATGTAGAATAGAGCGAGGCGGAAAATTGAAACAAAAAGTGATATGATTGGAATATTCATGGATAATCGCTCAGATATAATTTTCATTTTAACAGGGTTTGAACTTAGAAATCTTCGGCACTATCCAGTGGGATACAAGAAACTTGAAATCTGGTATCCACAACGAAAATCTGTATCCCACATTTGGGAAGTAATTTCAAACTTTGAAATAACTGCATGGTAAAATCAGGGGTTTTTTGTCATGAATTTGATGATACAGTATAATGACTCTAAGATATGTTTATGAAGGATTCACATAGTGTAGTGTACAACAGAAAAATACACTTGCAGTGGAGGACAGAAACTTCATTGTTTAGTATCCCAATGGATACTGAGCATGTGATGTCCAGTATCCAAACTTAAAATCCGGTATCCCTTGGATATCAGAATACTGCAAATTTCAAGCCCTGATTTTAACATAATCTGGTCAAAATTGGTCTTATGAAGAAAGTTACAAAAAATATGCCAGCATTAGTTTTAGGACAAAAGTCTTAAAAGCTTTAGGCACAAAATAGGTTGTTAATTACGACAACAGATGAAATAATTATCCTGGGAGAGAAAGTTATAAAGAAGGACTTAGGCTAATTGTAATTAATATTGGCACTAAATATACATTCTCCAGGGGAGGGATACCAGTAACTTAAGTAGCAGTAACTTTTAGCTTCAAAGTTTGAGAAGTGCAACTCAATAGTGAAGATACAGTAGTTGGAGACAGCATGTACTGCAAAGGCACTGCATACCTGAGTTGATCTACTGTAGTTTACAAAAAATCAAAAAGTCGAAACATTTGAAACGTTTGTGTGTGTTGGTGTTATGTACTCAGGTGAATATGATGTTGTGGTGTTACTCTGAGTGTGCATCCACACCGGGGAAGCTGAAAAGTTTGCTTGGTCACGGTGGGAACCGAACCCGCGACCTTTAATTGGGATACTACTGTAGTCCAATGCTAATAATAATAATAGTCAAAGGCTAATAAAACTCTTTGGGTTGGCTTATTTTTAATGGAAAAGGTAGTATAATATATATGTATTGCAAAATAATTTCATTTATAGCAGATCTGATATGAATCTTTTAGATTTATCTTCATACATTATCTCATGAAACATCCCAAAAGAAGCACAGACGTTTGAGGGTTCTAAATAGCTCTGAGCAGATCTGACAACTTCCTTCAAATACTGTTGTCCTACCATTGTTTAATTTCAATCCCACTGTTAGTCACAATAAGACGTGTAAGGATTATTGATTGTGCTTAACACCCACTCCTACCCCTCCTACATGCTACATCCCAGTTTAAGAGTCAAGAGAATAAACAAACTATAGTAAACTGGTCTCCATGCAGCTAGCCACTGGAAATTTGTGCTACACAAGTGGCACATACTGCAGGAAGAAGTGGTAGAAATTCACCAATTCTTCCTGTGGTACATGGTGGGGTCAAGCCTCCTGATTTTCCAACAAAGACCACATCAAACTTTAGGTTACAATTTCCTACAAATCATCTATTTTCCATAAAGGTGGGGTGCGGGGGATTTACTTGTAGGCAGACATTACAGTTACCCCTGAATATGGCACAGGTTGATGTCATAAAAGGCAAATCCAGTATCATATATTAAAAATGATGAGGAAAATACAAAAGAAATGAATGTTTAATCAATGTTTGTAAATCGGATAAAGATTTGTCCTGATTTACATAAACTTTACCTTTGATTTTCTCGGCTTAGACAACGTTTATTTTTAAAATTACTTCGCCAATGAACTCATAAGATGGGTCGTTTTTTAAGCATGTTAATTAAAACATTCGCATCCGATCTCGCCTCGATTGGCTCGAGTTGTATATCAGATAAAGATCGGCTGCTCATGTTTTAACTAGTACTTGTAAGTGAGGCCTGGGTTGATCCAAATGTTTACAGTTGATGCATATGATGGTGCCACTGTGACAACAGAAATATTTATAGTGTAAATTACCAAAGATTATTTCAATGTAGGTACATTTGTGATATTTTGTCAGACCACAAATTTAATTTCAACCATGTTGAGGATATTTACAGTAAGCCATTTTCATTCATAACTGAAAACCATATTAGTTATATGCATTATAATTGAAGTACTAGAATGTTCTAATTTATTTTAGCACTTATATTGAACAAATTCCAGAATGTTGTTATTCGAGTATGAGTTGGGGAGTGAATTAGAATTCTATTAATTTGAACAACTTTTATACAAGCAATTTTATACCAACATACCCAACCAGGCATAGCAAGCAGCCGAGCTTGTGCAACAGCATAGAACATGACTTTATAGAATTTCCCTTAGAATACCCATAGGCAGCCCAGCAAAATGTGTAAAAATGCATTAAACGCTTAAAAATACGTATAAAGTTCGTCACAATTTTCTATCAAGCGATTTATTTGTGTAGCTCATTATACATGCAGATTCCGATGTTTACGTCATTGTATTTTCATATAGTATATTAT